CCTGGTCCACATAGTGAGTTCCAGGACAGCTGGGGCTACAGGGAGACCCTGTCTCAAAACAAAGTAAAAAAAAAAAAAAAAAAGTAAAAGAATAATAAAACTTTAAAAAAGTATATAAAATATAGTCACTATTCTGTTAATTATACCACAAAAGCCATCCATATCCCAATTTTAGGAAAATAAATGTTCCAAAAAGCATATTTTAGAATGAATGTTAAATTCAGAATATGAGAGACTGGCAGAATAAGCACTCAGGTCCTAACAATGCTGTGAGGGTGTAATACAGTTAGTGGGTATGAGCTTAGCATATGTAAGGAGACTGCAGTTTCAATCCCCAAGAGAGCAAAAGTAAAAAGATTTTATTTTTGGGTCACTATCTTGTTTCTCAAATTGGGGGCAAAGCATTGTGGAAATTTTAGAAGCAGAAAATGAGATTTAAAGCAGAGGCACTTTTAGTGATGGTGGAAGTTGGCCTTTTTTTTTTTTTTCTGTCTTTTTGAGACACAGTCTCCCTGAAGACCCAGCTGGTCTCGAACTCAGATCCACCTGCCTCTGCTTCCCCAGTGCTGGGATTAAAGGTGTGTGCCACCACACCCTGCATTTGTGGAAGCTGACCATCTTTGTCCAGCTGTCATACTACTTTGTGCAGATGCTGCAAGGCCCCTGTCTACCATGTTGTTAAAGCATCTTTTAGTATGTCATTTTCCTTGTAAAGTGTGAGCACAAGAAAATACCAACTACAAAAGCCCCCTAGAGTAGCCATCAAAGTCTTCATGAGAGGAGAAGGGAAGGAATGAATGGTGGGAGTTTCTCTGCAGAATGGAGACAAACCCTCCCCTTGCACTCCCATCTCAATGACACCTAGTACGTTTTTCACAGTGATGGTCCCAATCTCAGGACCTGGACTTTGAAATCTCATGCTTGGTCTTGGAGTACACAGGCATGAGTTGTCAAGCCCCATGAGTGACAGGCACTTTATCAGATGCTCCTCTGAAAACCTGCTCTACTAAGGACAGGTCATAACAAGCCAGGTGGGATCTCTTCAGTCACGGAAGTCTTACCCGAATTTTCTCAATTTCCACTTTATTAGCTGTCTGCTGCTTCTCCAGTCTTTCACTCAACTGAGAACAAATCTAAAAAACAAAACCACAAACTGATTGGGGGAGGGGCGGGGTGTGCGTGTGTGCGTGCGTGTGTGTGTGTGTGTGTGTGTGTGACGGGAAATGACCTGCAAAGCACTCTAGACCACCATGAGACCCCAGTATGGAAGTGAGAAAACGCAATCTGTTTGTGTTTTCAAAACTCCACTGGCTTCAGAGAGTTGGTTTACAAACATTCAGAGCCACCATCTATCACTCTGCATTTGAAATGCCCCAGAAACACTGATTTTCATTTACCTCCTGTATGTTAAGCACTATGCAAACATGTCTGTCTGAATCCTGACAGTCTTTCAAGATGGAGATTAGTTTCCTTATTTTCAAAGTGAGACTAAGAGGAGAACTGGGGTTTGAAGCCTGTGTGCTTCAGTGCTGGGGCCTGAGGGCAAATTCTTCACTATGGTGCCCAGCCCAGCCTCAGTGCAGGGACTCACCTGCTTGTAGTCACCAATGATAGAACTGTTTTTTTTAATCTCAGATTCTGCCTTGTCAAGTTCTCGGCGGCACATTTCCTTTAACTGCACACATTAAAAAAAAAAGGGGGGGGGGGGTTGTAAATGAGAAATAAAGGAAGCTCTGACATTAACTGTTTAGAACTGAGCCTTCCAAAAATGTTTCACTTAAGCTTAGCTGGTCTCTTATTCCCCTCCGCCTTTTTCCCTGACCCTTGGGCAGCACTAAACTCTGGTTCTTGAAGCCAATAAAGGGAGAAAATAGTCAACACTTGCAAATATGCCAGAGCCCAGTTTCAGTGGGGCTTCTGCAGAAGTTGTTCCCAGCCACTGTACGCTTGGTCAAGGAGCCAGTGCAGGCCAGACAGACTGAAAAGCCCAGAAGATGGCAGTGTTTAGCAGCTCTCGGGTTTTGCCAGCCACTGTACGCTTGGTCAAGGAGCCAGTGCAGGCCAGACAGACTGAAAAGCCCAGAAGATGGCAGTGTTTAGCAGCTCTCGGGTTTTGCCTACAGTGCTTGGTCATGGCTCACCCTTGCAGCTGTGGCTCTCCTGGTGGAGTGCAGAGGGAGAGGGCTGGGGGCTTGCTTTCAGTCACATGTCACCCACAGCTCTGCTAGTGACTGAAACAATGAATGACTCAGTGTGCTCTGAGGGTGATTAAACTAGAGGACACACAGTAGAGGACCAGACATTCTGGGATGTTCCCTATCTTGTACATGCCAACCCTCTTCCAATGCACTTCATGCTGATACACAGCAGTCTCTCCTGCCTCAACAAAGGATGGGTTTTGACACACTGTCTAACTCATGCTTTAAATTTTTAATAACTGTTACCTTTATGGAGGAAATGACAAAGGCCTCAGTAAAGTAACTGAGCCAGCTATCTCCAGGTTCACCAGTGTTGAGAAAACCTCCAGGTGAACTCCTAACTCACCAGCATTTACAAGATTCAAAGGAGTATGGGAGGGGGTGAGGGTCCCCTCACCTGTGCAGACTCCTCTTCTAACCGTCTCTTCTCCTCTTCTGCATCAATCAGCTTCTGTTTGGTCATCAGCAGCTCCTTATTTAGTGCATCTGCTTTCTCCTCTGCCTGAAACATTAAGAAGATGCTTATAGCTCAGAACCAGAAAGGCTTTATATTCCCTGGCATGATGTTATTTTAAGACAATGGGGAAATTGATCCACACAGAGGAATCCTATGTCCAAGGTTACACCGAGACTAAACTCATGTGTGTGGCCTTGTCTCCTATGGTGGTAGTGCAGGGCAGCTGTCATGAGCTGAGCTTTTGATTGGCCTCAGATCACTGTACATTGACTGATAACCACTTGGATAGGTCACTAAGAACTCTTCTAAGTTCCAGGCTCTTTAGCTGAAGGATAAAGCATCAGCAGAGTGCCTAGCTATCATTTTTAATAGCCACAGTTTTTCTCTTCTAAATGGTTTTCATTGCCTCTGCTTCATCCAACTAATTCTGTATTTGCTGTTGTTAAACTTCTCCAATAAAGAAGCTGCCCTCTTCTGGTACTTTCTTTTATCTTTAATGGCTATGTTCTACTCCTAAGCACATCAAAATTTCTAGTGAGTGGATCTGTGAATCCAAGGGAAATCCTGTGGTGCTTGATACTGGTCCTTTCAAGGATAATAAGAGTGACTATCATGCTGGATAATAATCAAGGACTAGCTAGAAATGATTTTTGCTGGCCCCTCCTAGACAACCTTCCTTGGTAATGGAAGATGGTATTTTTGGTATACTTAAAGTTCTATGGCTAGGACCCTGAGCTCTACACTCCACACTACTACTATGGGGACACAAGGCTGGGACTTGAAATGTGGAACTGAGACAACTGTCATGCAGACTCAGGAGGCAGTTCACTGGCCAGCTACACCAGCACAACAGTAAAGGTGAGCCACCTTCCTGGGGACAGCTCACCACTTGCCTCCTGCAGCTCAAACCGAAGAAGCAGTCACAAGTAAAATGAAGATATCAAACAACAGGGGAACAGGAGAACGAAGTCCTGTTACAGAGTTCACAATCTGCAGCCCCGCCCAAATCTGGTTGACACCTCTTGTGCATTACTGTGTATCACAAGCTATACACTTAACATTCTCTCCTGTATTCATCATCATTTCCTAGAATAGGTGCCCTTAATACAGAGACTGATTCCAAGAGTATGAAGCAACCAGGGGTAGAGTTGAACCTTCTAACTCAGAAGCTTCCTCAGTCCACTCTGGCTTGTACATGAGTAAGGAGAGGAAGCTCTGACAAGTTAGGGAGCAGAGCTAGGCTCTATAAACGGTAAAAGAATGGGGGCTGGAGAGATGGTTCAGCGGGTAAGAACACTGTTATTGCAGAAGACCCAGGTTCGCATCCCAGCACCCACATGGCAGCTAACAACTGTCCATAACTCCAGCTTCAGGGGATCTGACAGCCTCTTCTGTCTTCTGCAGGCATTGCACAACACGGGCGCACTTACCTACATGCAATACATGCATATATATAAATTTTTTTTTTTTAAAAAAGGAAGTACCAACAACATATCAACACACTTGATCAAGAAGATAGAATGGATAAATTGATTACAAGACAGAACTGTAAGAACGGAAGCTTGGCTAGGAGATGCACACCTGAAAATCCAGCATTTGGTAGGAGAAACGGGAGGACTGCCACAAATCCCAAACAAGCGTCAGCTATCTAGCAGATTCTAGGTTAGCAGGGCCATATACTGAAACTCTTGTCTCAAAAACAAAACAAGACATTATAAAAAGGGGAGCTAGAGAGATGGCTCAAGAGGTTGAGAGCATTAGCTGTTCTTGCAGAGGACCTGGGTTTGATTCACAGAACCCACATGGTGACTAAATAACTCTAACTCCAGTTCCAAGGGATCTGATGCCTATTTATGGCCTCTGTGGGTAGGTACATGGTGCACTGATATACATGCAGACAAAATACTCATACACATACAATAAAAATAAAGAAAATTATAAATTTAAATAGCACATGAAGACTTAGAGAATTAGTATAGCTCATTATCTAAAAGGATTCACAATTTTTTGCAAAGAAAATTCTAGGTCTGTATGACTTACTTCACTAGGGGGAACACAAGTTCAAGGCATGCCTGGATAATTCAGTAGGAAACCCAAACAAGAATTAAAAAGATACAGCAATGGTGACAGTATGCGCAAGACCCACGTAAACGCAAACCAGACAAAAACCTGGCATAGAATTGGGGAAATGGGGAAGAGGCCCTAATAGCTGAGGGACTATCGGCAACTGATCACTGCTGGGTGAGGGAGAGTTGATCTTTAAAGGAGTGATGCTAGATAGGTGACCAAACTCCGGTGAATGAAGTCACACAGAAGGACATCTGGGTACACAAACTTGACAATAGGCCTAAACATATATGACAGAATGCATGAAATCCAGGGTGTGTATGTGTGTGGGGTCTAAATATGACTAAGATATATTGTATGAAATGCACAAAATTTCAACAAAAAAATATACTTAAAAAAAAAAAAAAGGCTCAGATCTAGCTCAGTGGTAGAGTGCTTGCCTAGCATGTGTGAGGCCCTAGGTGCAACCCCAGTACTCTCAAACAAATGAGAGTCTTTAAGAAAAAGCAAGAACCTCAACTGGGATTTATCATAGGAAGCAAAGTTAGTTTACATCTTAATTTACTTCATCATATTAACAAAACTATGAAAATATATTATAGTAAAAGCATCTGACAAAATTCAACATCCATCATGACCAAAACTCTGAGCCAAGAGAAACAGAGGAAAGTTTCTCAGCCTGCTCTGTGTAGTCCTAGGAGCCAAGAGCTGGACCCAGGCCCTGTCACCTACTCTACCCCCAGAACTGCTCTGAAGACTTCATGCAGTGTGGAGATGAGTGGAAAACAGCTTCAAAGGAAGTTAAAACAGACTTCAGAGTTGATACGGCTTGTGTATGGAAAAATCCAAAGCAATATCCACAGAGCTAATGGACTAATCATAGTAAAAAAATATGTATTATTTTCATTTTATGTGTATGAGTGTACTGCCTGCATGTGTGTAAGTACACCTGTGTTATGTGAGGTCAGAAGAGGGCACTGGATCCCCTGGAACTGGACTGATGGATGATGGAGGAGGAAGAGGGAGGAGAGGGAGGAGGAAGGCGGGAGACTCAACCCTGACAAGTAAGACTGGATAGGCAGTGAGATCCCAGGTTTTGACCATGGACAGCTAACGACCTTGAAACATTTGCCTCACTAAAACTGGAGAAAGGAGCCTTCTCAGCATGAACATCTGACTGTCACATAAGCAGAGGGGATTTTTGATCTTTTGTTTTTTTCAGGAAATTCCTGTACAGTACACCAAATCATGTCATCCTCAATGTAACCCCTGCTCCAGCCTATGACACAGCCCTCCCTACCAACAGAGTCCAAGGAGGTGACAAGAGATTTAGATCTCGTGTTAGGGTTCAGGTCTGTCTGAAATGTTTCATTCCATATTTTATTTCTAAATAAAATAAGAACCAGTAGGTAATACCATGTTTCTTTTTATGTTTTAAAACTATTTTGAGAATCTAATAAAGGCACATGTTTTCAAAGAAATAAACTATATGCACACCATTCATATACTTTTGGTAGTTTTTGATTTTTTGAAGTTCATACTCTCTAGGGCTATTACATATAATATATGTTAAACATAATATACATATGTATTACATATTGTAACATATATTACTATATATAATATAAATCAAACATATCTATGTGTAGATACACATTAATATGAGAACCTTATAGCCCTTAGCGGCCCAAGTGTATTGCTAGAGCCTTAGCAAACCAACATGCAAAAAAGTCACCTCAGGAGCTTAGGAGGGAAAGTCAGAGACTTGCCAAGTGCAGTCCAGGAGCCAGCCTCAGTTACCACCTATTTTTGTAAGTACAGGAAAATAGCTGATTTATGAATTCCTTTTGCACCAATGGCATAGTTAAGTAGTGGCAACACAGGCAACAGGCCCACAAAACCTTAAATATTTCCTGTTTAACCACAAACAAAAGTTTGCCAGCCTTAAGTCACATGAGACAACTTCTAAGGGATGTATGTAGTATAGAAAATAGAAAAAAATAAAATCATTCTGCCGGGAAAGCTATCATTTTAAAATTTACAAGATTAGGAAGAAACAAAGAAAAACGGAACATCTGCCAATACACACTTCTGACAGATAGAAGCACATGTTGCTCAGGCACTGGACTGAATGCCAACAGGTTCAGAATACGGACAGCAACAAAATCTCTGGTCTTAGTGAGGAGCTCAGGCCATTCTAAGAATTAGATGCTGCCAACTCTGATAGCGTGAGAATTAAGTCAAAAAATCACTGAAATATTTGGGGAGACAGCTAGGACCTGTGTGCACTGAGAGAACATGGAGAGGAGGAAGGCTGAGCACCCTGGTACAGATGGAGGTCCCTATAGGAAAGGCTGCCTGTGTCTTGAGACAGCAGAGCTGATGGAAACTACAGCAGTAAACACTAAACTTCCAGGGTTTCACTTGCTAAAGGAGAATCAAGTGTCTGTGTGAGCTTTCTCTTCAGTCTGACACACTTACGTTATCCAAGTCCTTCCGTAGTGCAATCTTGCTGGTCACCAGCTCATGAGCTAAGTCATCGTTCTCCTGTTCCAACCTCATGTTAGCTTCTTGTAGGCGTCTGTTCTCCCGCTGAAGGACAAAAAGAACCAGGTGCAGGCACCAAAGCTCAGTTGGAAGTAACAGGAGATGTGCCTGATCCTAACATGTTTTCAAATGAACAATTTATTGTCTATGAAGTCAAGTGACCCTGTCAAACAGGCTACCTCTTATTTTACTTATGAGGAAAGAGCACTGAACTATAACAAACTTGGCAGCTGGTTTAGAACAAAACAGACCTTACTTTCTCATTTGCAAATTCAAACTGAAACTTGAGTCTAAATAAAGAGTGGCACTGAGTTTTAACAATGATTCAACAAAGCTAGGTATGGGCACAACTACATGAAGGAAAAACCGAAAGCTCCTATCTTGGTCATAAAAAAAACAAACCTCAAACCGCTCGAGGGGGTCTTCCTGCTGTGCCTGTTGTTCTCTCATGGTGTGATACTCTTTCTCATACTTCTTCAACTTCTTCTGACTAATCTGTAGAGTAAGCCACAGCACAAATTAAGAAGAACTTGACAGCGGTGGTGCTTATTGCCTCTGCTGAAGACTGAAACTGCTGCCCCAGTTACTGAAGTGGTGTTACTGTTTTGACTTGGAAATCTTCATAGACAGATAGAAGCCCAAGACTCCATCAAGGCTGTTAGGTTTCCAAGGTTTTTACTGACAGTGTTCTATCGAACACCTTGCAGAAAACTCCACCAACATGAGTTCTGAGTCCTAACAGGTCCTCGTATTACTAATAATGAGCTACCACTCTCTGTAGCACGCACCAGCAGTGTGTTGCTGAATGCTTTATACCTGCAACCCCACAAGCTCCCTATGGGTACATTTTTACCATCCTCATTAGAGGGCTTACAAGATTATGTAGTACGACCAAGGTTGTCAAGAAGGAACTGTGAAATACAGGACAGAAGGCCTGGCAGCTGGATTTCTACTCAAAATGCCCAGTGGTTAAGAGCACTGGCTGCTCTTGCAGAGGATCAGGGTTCTGTTCCCAGCACCCATAGAGCAGTCTATAACTCCAGCTTCAGGGGATCCAACATCTGTTTCTCATCTCCAAGGGCATCGTACACACTTGTACACTACATACACGCAGGCAAAACAGTCATACACATAAAGTCAAAGCCACAGCTGGCCCCATCTTACTTTCCCCAAAGCTGCTCTCTCCTTTCCTCTCTACTAGCCCCTTAGCTGTTTTCAAATAGGCACAATTCTCTCTGCCTGTAGAAACACAGAGCTCACTATTCCACTGTTGCCCATCAAATTACTGTCCTTTCTTGAGTCTTCTTACCAGCCAATACAGACCACAAGCTAGAACCTTCTGTCCCTATTTCCTTCTACCCCTACTTCTCACAGCCCCTTACCAATCTCACTAGAGAATGGATGCCCCTAAAGCCATCTGTGTGATTAGTTTCTTTTCCCTCTCAGTGAGTCCAACCTTTCCCCTGGATTTTCATGCTCAACCATGACTAACCACCCTACTGTCTTCTGGGAAGTTTTTTGCCTATTTGGTTTTTTTTTTTGAAACGGGGTCTCCCTGTAGCCCCAGATGGCCTAGAACTCACTATGTAGACCAGAATGGCTTTGATTCCAGAGACCAACCTGCCTGCCTAACTCTTCCTCCCAAGTGAGTACTGGGGTTAAAATAGCGCACCACCACCCTGGTTTGGAAAACTCTCTTTTTCCCTTTATTCTCTTGGCTCTCCTGCCTATAGGGAGTGTTCCCTTTATACTGGCTGGGCCTTCTCTTTCTTCAAGATTAACCATGACTGAGAACAACCCTTCACAATGCAACACTCTTTTGTTTGATTCCTTATAAACTGTTAGTCCATTCCCTATATTTTAAATTTTACATTAAAAATTGTGAGAAACAACAGAGTAGTGATAAAGTAGATGTGTACAGTCTAGAGAATAATTACAAAGCTGGTGCTCATTCTTTCTCAAAGCTTCAATGGTTAGTACTGAACTGATTACCTGCCAATCTGTTTCTGGCTTACAGGTCTAGGTAACTAGGGTGTACACTGTTAGTCTAGCCTAACTCTGCTGATTTTACAGATGAAGAATCCAGGCAGACCTAGGTGCACGTTTGCAGTATACTGGTGTGGTGTCTGTAATTCTGGTCCAGCTAAAGCACCTGGTGATCCTTTCCTACTGACCCTGGACTTCTATCTGGGCTGTGAGCTTTAGTTGGAATGATGCTTCTGGAGTCTGGCCTAGAGCCAGTGGCTAGGATACAGCCTTTGGCTGTGGCTACAGTCTTCACAGACACACCCAGTAATCACTTATGGGGGTCACAAGCTGGAGAGGGACATCCTTAACACACGTCTTTGTGGTTTAAGGGCAATGTCAGGGTAAACCTTATTATGTACCTAAGTGATTCACAAAAAACGCACCTAAATAAAACATCTTTGTAATCAGTAAATTTACAAACAAATCCTACTGGATCAAGAGTGGCAGCAAAGAAAATAAATGAGGCCTGTGGTCAGCAAATTCTTCCCAGTGCTCTTTGCAGTCCTAGTAGAGGACAATTGAGAGCAGTGGAGATGCCGCTCCTTGAGCACCTTCTTAAAAAAAATAACAGACACCAAGTCCTATGAACATCATCACAAATCTTCAGGATGTCTTGACCTTCATTCATGCAAAGGTAAGGAAGAATCAACACTTTCCTCATAACCACACTTTTAAAAGGCTAGTTAAAAAAAAATGTCTTTAATTGGGCGTGGTGGTGCACGCCTTTAATCCCAGCACTCGGGAGGCAGAGGCAGGCAGATCTCTGAGAGTTCAAGGCCAGCCTGGTCTACATAG